CGGCGCGCGGCGCGAGGCTGTCCTGCGGCGCCCCCTAGTGGCCGAGGAGCCGCCTGGCCCGCGAGCAACCCCCGCCCCAGGCGCCCCTGTTCGCCGGGCCAGTGGAAAGCAGAGCGCCCCTCCGCCGGGGACCGCGTGCTGGCCGTCCCAGATCGAGAGGAGGAAGCGGGTACGGTAGAGCGTGGCCCCTGGCCCTCCCGGGAGGCCAACTCACACGTCCCACGGCCACCTGGACATCTGTCAGCGGCCCGCAGCCGCCCCAACCCCAACCTTCCTCTCTCTAATTCGTGCATTTATAAAGCACTTATATATGCCAAGCACTGTTGCAGGCGCTAGAGATACCACGATGAACAAAACAAAGGTCCCTGCCCTTGGGGAGCCTGAGGTGGGGCGTGGTGGGAAAACAAAATAAACAAACATAAGAAATAAGAAAACAATCTGGCCATTTTGCAAGCAGGAAAAAGGAGCATGTCTGGCAAGTCACTGGGCTACACACACACACACATACGCACCCTTGGGGCAAATTCAAGGAGTCTGACGCCAATTAGACCATCCTGCCCTCTTGGCTCCTCTGGGAACACTCCTGTCCCAGGGGATGTAACCTCACCACAAGGTCCTCCCGACTGGGCCTCTCTCCTTTCAGAAAGCTCCTCTTCTCCGCTGGAGGTCTGTGACCCCAGGCTTGCTGGGCCCCACCCAGTGCACAAATGCTCAGGCCAGGCTGTCTTGATTCCCAGCTCTGGCACCACCTGTGACATGGACAGGCTCCTTGGCCTCTCTGTTTCCTCATCTGCAAAGCAGGATACAAGTTGCTCCTACTTCAGAATCATGGGGGAGAGGAGGAGTGAGTTAACAAGTGTCAAACATTTCAAACAGCATCTTAACATAGTTTTGTTGTTATTAACATCTATTTAGGTGTTTCTCTCCTTCCTGGCCTGGCTGATGGAGGTTAGATAGTGAGATCATGCAGGAAGGACCACCTGAGTCAAATCCACATCCCACACTCTACAGTGTCAGGTATACAAAAGGCCCTCAGAACATGTTTGCTCAGTGAATTCAGTGGTTCCTCTTCTCACCATTCATTTATCGAGTGCCTTCTGCATGCCAGGTAGTACTGGACTAGGAGCTGCAATGGAGTAGTGAAGACAGGGCTCCTTTCCATTGCAAGAAAAGTAATTTCTAGGCCAGAAGTTCTCATATTTTTGGTCTAAGAACCTGCTTTTTGACCCAGTGATCCCGCTTCTAGGACTATATCCTAAGAGTCCTGAAACATCAATCAGAAAGAATATATGCACCCCTATGTTCATAGTAGCACAGTTTACAATAGCTAAGATCTGGAAACAGCCCAAGTGCCCATCAGTAGATGAGTGGATAAAAAGCTGTGGTACATTTACACAGTGGAATACTATGCAGCTGTAAAGAAGGATCTCACACCATTGGGGACAATATGGAAGGGCCTGGAGAATATTATGCTAAGCGAAATAAGCCAGGCAGAGAAAGACAAACATCACATGATCTCACTTATATGTGGAATCTAAAGAACTCAATAAACTGATGAACAAAATAGATCCAGCGACATAGAAGCATGGAACAGACTGACGAATGTCAGAGGGAAGGGGGGGAGGATTAACCATAGAATTTATATGCATATATGCATAACCCAAGGCCACAGACAATAGGATGATGAAGGCCTGGGGCAGGGGGTGGCTGTGGAGTAAAAGGGGTCAATGGGGGGGAAAAGGGGACATCTGTAATTCTTTCAACAATGAAGATAATTTTTTTTAAAAAATTCAGAATCCCAAAGAACTTTTGTATATGTTAAATCCCGGGTGCTTTTTGCCGTATTAGAAACTAAAACTAAGAAAACTTTTCAATATTTATCAACTCACTTAAAGTAACAACAAACTCATTGCATATTAACACAAATAACACATTTTTATGAGAACAGTTTTTTCCAAAACAAAACAGTGTGAAAACACGGCTATTGTTTTGCACTTTTGCATACGTCTTTAATGTCTGGCTTAGTGGAAGACAGCTGAAGTCTCATGCTGCTCTCAATCTGTGCGATATGTTGCTTTGGTTGGGGTATATGAAAAAAAATCCTGCTCAACATTCTCCTTTTTCGTAAAAATTGATACTACTAACACTCGGCCCCACCCGCAGCCTCTACCACTACGCACCGGCCAGATCCCAGAGGTTTAACTAACCTGGCTAGGCTAGTTGTGAACGGTTTTCCGGGAGAAGGCGTGGCCTAGCGCCCAAAGGAAAAGTTGGGCTGGGATTGGACAACACATGCGTCTTTCTGCGTATTTCCCCGCCTCCGGCTCCGCCCCTCTTCCCCTCGGTGGTAAATCAGCTAACCCTAACGCATAGGGAGGTGGGCACTTCCGCCCGCTCAGCCCGGAACTTTCAGTTCCCGCTCCGGTTTCCGCCCAGACAACATGGGCGGCCCGGACGGAAGTAGCGTAAGCGTGTGGGCGGGGTCAGGGGCAACAATGTCGGCTGCCTTGCTGCGGCGGGGCCTGGAGCTGCTGGGGGCGCCCGAAGGTGAGGAGAGCGTGGCCAGAGACTTCAGCGCGGGCGGGGGGCGGCTGGGGCTGAGGGCAGGAACCCGGAGGGTGTGGAGCGATCCAGTCCGACCTCATCCCCGGTGGGATGGGAACTCTGCGCGCCCTCCGACCCGGGTCCGTCCCTCTCTCTCTTCCCCTACAGCCCCCCAGGCCGAGCCTGGCCAGGCCAAGCAGAGCGGGGCTCCGGGGAAGCGGGCCCGGAAGGCGAAGGCGACCCAGGCCGGGAAACTGAGGAACTCGGCCAAGGGAAAAGTGCCCAAGTCGGCGCTAGGTAAGCTCCGGAAGGGGCTGGACGTGCTTCCCCCGGGGTCGGGCTCTGCGCCTTGGAGGTAGGAGCTCTTGAGGGGAGCTTGAAACATTTGCCAGACATTTCTAGAATACGTACTGTGCCCCGTGCTCAGACGAGTCCTGGGAATACGGAGTGAGCGAAACACATCGCCCCAGTTCTCATGGTCCCCAACCCGGGCGAGGAGAAAGGCATTAGAGTTTCAAAACCAGCTAAGTGCGATGAGGGCTTTGAGGAAGACTTGTGCTCTGAGAGGGACTTCGAGTAAAAGGCCAAATCATACTTCTCCGAGGAAGCGACATTTAAGCCCAGATCTGAAGGAGGTATAGAGTGAACCAAGGGGAAGAGTATTCTAAAGATAATGGTATATGCAGGGTCAGAAAGAAGTTCGTGGCCTTTGAAAATGTGAAAGAAGCCTGGCAAAGGTGACGTACAGTGAACAAGGGTCAGAGGTGGAGCATTAACAGTTAATGGTCGGTGTGCCAGGAGCTGTTCTAAATCCTGTACAAATGTTCACTCGTTTAATTCCTCACAGCAACCCTGTGAGGTCGGTTCAGATGGTACAGGTGACAGCCAGGCAGTGTGTTTCTAGAGCCCTGCTCTCACCTATGCTGTTCAAGTGGACAGCACTGTGACCTGTGCAGTGGCCAGGGTGCAGAGATAAGAGAACTGTGCATGCCGAAGATGTGGTGAGGAGGTAGCACTGATGGACTAAAGTGGTGAACTGGAGAAGACGACACCGAGAACAGAGCCCAATTTCTAAAGGCCCATCTTGGCAGATGTGATGCTGGGGTGGGAGGTGGGTAGGATGGTGGGAGGATATGTGGCAGGACTGGATGAGGTCCTAGGGTGTCTTTGAACCTGGGCCTAGTGCATGAAAGATGTTTGTTTGTTAAAAGAACTATGAATTCCAGGGAGGAAACAGCCCAAGCAGAAGTGTGAAGGCAGAAAAGTTGAGACCCATTTGAGCAACAGTGATGTTGGTATGAAGAGCATAGGACACTGGAGGTGCCCCCATCCAACCCAGACCTTGTCCCATAATTGGTACTCAGTTGACGAGTGAGGGGACTCTCAAGACTCTCAAGTCTCAGTGGCCAACCTAAAGAACACCTCTTTGACTGCCACCTCTGCGAACTACATCTCTTGCCTGGATTACTGTGAAAGCCTCCTAACTGGTCTCACCTTCCACTCCCCCTTCCCCACTAATTGTTCTCAGCACAACAGCCAAGTGATCGTATAAAATGTCAGACCTTTTTCTTCTCTGCCCCACACCCTTCTGTGAAAGTCCAAGTTTTCAAGGTGAGGCCCCACATGATCTGCCCCTTCTCCTACTGCTCTCCCCTCCCCTTCCAGCCATTTTCTGTTCTTCAAATACATTAATCACACCTCTGCTTCAGGGCCTTTGCACTGGCTGTTCCCTCTAGAATGTTCTTCCCCCAGGTACTACACTCTCCCTTGAGTCTTTACTCAAATATCATTTCACTAAGGCCTCAGACCCTCAGATTTAGAAGTGCAACCCTCTACCCCTGGCATTCCTCATTTCCATTTACTGTTCTGTTTTTTTCCATAAAATGCATCACCTTCTAAAATGCTGTTGACCACCTCTTCCCACAAGGGCAGGAGGTTTTGTAAGTACTGAGGACATATTTATTGAATAAGTCACTTGAGCAACTAGGAGCCAAGGGCAGCTTTCAGCAGGATGTGTATGGAGAGTGGATTTGACAGAAAAGCGCCCAGGCTATGGCAGCAATTGAGGAAAGGGATGACATAGCCTTTGCAAGGCTATGGGGGTTGGGCAGGGCAGGGCAGGTAATGGAGAGATGTCAAGATAGGACCCAGAAGCCTTCCAGGGAGTGAATCTGATATGCCGCCCTGCCTACCATCCACAGCCAAGTTCCAGAAGCAAGAGTGTCGAAGCTACCTTGGAGTGAACCTAAAGTTTATGACCAGTGCAAGAAGCACCGTGCCTGAGTCCGTCACCCAGCAGGTGTGTTGGGGTGGCTATGAGAAGGAACCTGTGGGGGGAGAGCTGAGGATGTTCCTGGGGATCCCTGAGGGTCTCAGCCCTGAGAATAGGGTGAAGGTTGGGCCACCCCTATGCTTCCATATTGCTGTGCTGTAGGGAGTCTCCCCGTGAAGGGCTGAGAGCAGAGCAGAGTAGACAGAAGGCCAGGCCAGGCCCTGCCCCCCAGGAGGCAGGTGTGCAGACCAGGTAAGGGGGCATCACTCTGCCAGCTGTGTGGCTCCCTCATATCCTGATTCCCACACGCCCCCAGATTGTGCGCCAGAACCGGGGCCGCAAGGCCTGTGACCGGCCTATGGCCAAGAAGAAGAAGAAGAAGGCCCAGGGCACCGTGTTCACTGAGGAAGACTTCCAGAAGTTCCAGCAGGAGTACTTTGGCAACTAGGCTCCCAGGAGGGCACAGTGGGAGAGGCACTCCCAGCTTCCTCCTCTGACCTCACAGCCACCCTGGCCCTAGGACTCTGCCATGCGCAGAGCAGGCTGGGCTGAAGCAAGGAAGCCCTGGAACTGCAGCCAGGGGCAGGCTGGAGTGGAGGTGGTGAGCTGGAAGCCTGAGGGAGGATTTAAACTCACACTGGAGGGGTACCCCGCAGACTTGGGAGTTATCTTCCTGCCAGAAAGGAACATTTCCCACTGTTCTTTTTGCTTTGGCCCAAGTAGGACCTCTTGGCTGTTTGCTGTGGAGAGACCAGTTACTGGGCCCTCGCGGCCACACCTCTAAGAGTAGGAGAGCTGCTGGGTTTGCTAATAAATGTGCACTCAGGAGCTGGGTGGGCTGCTGATCTGACTCATGCGTCTCTCATCTGTGGCACCAAGGGGCCTTCCTTCCAATCTCCCAGTGTGGTTCTGAGTTCCAGGGCAGAAGTCCTCCAGTCCAGCCCCAGAGCAAGCAGCTACCCAGAGTTCACCCCACATTGCTGGCATAGCCCAGAGGAACCCTCCTTCCCTGGGGGAAGCACCCACAGCTGCCAGGGGCTTTGTTCCAGAGATGCCATTTCAAGGTCTGGGAAGAGGGAGTGTTGCTAGCCCATCACCCAGGTCCTGTACTCTTGTGAGCAGGGTTCAGGGTTATGTGTCAAAGGCTGCTTTTTTTAACTCTGTCACATGAGTTGGGGGACTGGTGGGGTGACTCAGGAAGTGACTTCAAGAAACAGGGTTTTGCGTGGCCGGTATGGCTCAGCGGTTGAGCATCCACCCATGGTCCAGATCAGGGTTCAGTTCCCTTCAGGGCACATGCCCAGGTTGTCGGCTTAATCCCCATTAGGGGGCATGCAGGAGGCAGCTGATAAACAACTCTTCATTGATGTTTCTGTCTCCCTCTCCCTCTCTTTGAAATCAATAAAGACATAATAAAAAATAAAAACCTTAAAAAAAAAAGTTTCACCGGTAAGTGCCCCAGCAGAGAGGCAGTTAGTGCTTGGGGCAGAGGCTGGGCCATCTTCCAGCCAGCACAGTGCTGGGCACAAGTACATGATCAAATGTACGAGAATGGTGCCGACCACCATTGCCTTCAGGGTCCAGATGAGAAGTCCTGGAAGCCAGGGGCCTCTTGGGACTGGGGACCTCCTGGACAAGAGGGCCCTGGACACCTTCAGGCAGCTCTTCTACCTCTTCCCCCTCCCCCAGAGGGCTCCATAGGTCACGAGGTCAGAGAGGACTTCTGAAGGGTCCTCTGTGGCTGGAGTGACAGCAGTGGGTTCTAGTGTCAGAGAGAGGGCTCCTCTCCCTCCCGCACTGCCCTGGAGGCTGTTCCTGGTTTTAACCCGATTTCCATCCTGAGCCAGGACAGGAGGGGCCGCTGAATGGCCTCAGGCAGAGCTGGACCTGGCCTCCTGAGCAGTAGTTAGCCGACCATCCAGATCAAGGCCCATCCAGGAGGTCAAGGCCGCAGAAGAGGAGGGTGCTGGGACTCCAAACTGGCTTTTACCTACCTTCCTGTGTCCTTTCAAAGGGAGCACCTGATACTCAGCCTCAGACCCGCCCTCCGCTAAAGCTGAGCTTTAATGACTGGGGAACTACACACCTGGGTATCCTTACTCCACCTTTGAAGCAGCTTAACAAGAGGCTGGCTCAGCTGTTGGTGCGTTTGCTTCTCAGAACTGAACTCCAGGACCCCTTCCTAATGACACCTGCTGTTTACCCAATCACCACAGGCTCCTGACCCCTCCCCCCCCCAGATGTAGACAGCCACTTCCAGCAGGAAGAGTACAGGGCTTCACCACTTTTTGTGGGTTTTCCAGTCTTACATTTATGGAGTGGGAGGGTCCATGCCCCCTTTGCATGACTAAAGTTAATAGTGTCCACCCCCGAGATTCTGGTCTAGTAAGTCAGGGAAGGATTCAGGGTATTTTAACAGTACCCTGAACAAGTCTGTGTAAGTGGTTAGGTGGCATGGTCCCAGTCCCTTCTCCCAGCCATCTGCAGGGAGTAGACTGCTGCAGACAGGTGGCCCCCTGGGGAGTACCAGGTTGTAGCTTCCTGGCAAGCTGCCCAGATGACATGCCTATGTGGCCTTCCCTCTTTGCCTTTTATTCACTAATTATAGCAGTATCAAAACCAGTTTTTCTCTGAACAAAAGTTCCTTCTGGGAAGAGGCCTCTATAGCAGTTAAGAACTAAGTAGTAAAATCTACTCATCAATGCACCCAACTCATGGGCTGTGGGGCCTTATCTAGACGAGGAGACATTGACAAAAAGCTGGATTGAGGGAACAGGTAGAGCCTGGGCTGCTCCTCCCTGCCACCCAATTCCCTCAGGCTCAACTCCCTAAAGCCTTACCCAACCGAGGCCTACTGTAAAATCTAGCCCAGTTCTCAGATCTGGGAAAACCACCCAGGCACCTGCTGTGGGGGCTCTAGCCCAACCCCTCTGTGGCCCAGGGTCCAATGGAAATCACCAGTGCTAGATCCTGACACAACTGGGCTGAAACACATTTCACTCTGGGCTCAACCTGAAGCATGTTGAAACCCCACCTCTGGTTTAGGATCTAGTTCCAAGTTGGCTGGAACTAGACGCGAGCAACCAGATAAAGCAGCAGTCTGCACAGTACTTTCACTACAAAATAATTTATTGCAACACACAGCTCCAGCACAAGCCTATGTACATGCACACTGACTACCCTACCTAGTGGGCCCTTTTCTTCCCCCTGGCCTTGCGGACCTCTTCTATCAGGTCTTTCAGATACTGTATCTCCTTGGCCAAAGAGTCTGCCTTCTCTTTCAGAGCTTCGTTTTTCCTTTCTAGCGCTTTACACTCATCAGTGAGGGCCTCCTGCTCTGCCCGCTTCTTCTGGCGGTACCTAGTGGCTGCTGTCTTGTTCTGCTCCATTTTTTTCAGCCTTTTATCCTGTTTCTCACCCTTTACTTTTGCTGCTACTACCTTCTCTATGGGAGGGTCATAGGGCTTGGGGCAAGTAGAGCCACAGGGAGTACCTTGAGACAACAGGTTCCTGTGTGGAGAGGCCCTGGAGGTACAGGGACTATGCTGGGGAGAGCCCAGATAGGACTCAGGGCTCATACAGACGCCACTGTCATCTGAGGTGGCATCTTCCTCCTTTATGCACTGAGGGGTTAGGGCAACATAAGCAGTGGAGTCTGACTTCCTGTCTCCTTCAGAGATATCAACTTCACTGCCCAGCTCTAAACTAAAGGAATGATCCGGAGTGGAGGACAGGGCCCCTGGGGAAAGGGGAAGAGGCTGCAAGAAGGTGAAGGGGGCAACCTGGTCAGTTTTTGCTAAACTTTCTGGAAGATGGCCAATAGGGTTCACTGTCTGGGGGGGCTCCTTATTAATCTCCTGGTCTAGGGGGTCAAAGAGATCACAGGTGTCATCCAACGTGGCCAAAAGCTCATCGGGCATGGTTTCCAGGTCACCGAAACTTAACAGGGCATCAAAATCAAACTCCTTGAGATCCATTTTCTCCACCATCCAATCTGTCCCGGAGAAGGCATCCTCTGCAAAAGATATTAGAGAATGAAATAAACTCAGCCAGATGCACAACGCAACAAACTCCTATGACGAGACCTCACTGGCAAAATAAAGGATGGGCACTCACCCTTGCCGTTGTCTGAGGCACTGACCAACCCATCCATAGCCAGCCATTCGGAGGAGCCCGCCTTAGCCTTGTCGCTGGAGAACCCATGAGATTTGAAGTGCTTGGCCACCTCCAGGTAGTCGTCTAAGAGACCTAGGCTTTCTTCAGCCCCCAAACCCGACTGGTCGAAGGGGGACATCAAGCCCCCCACCAACACCTCGCTGCTCAGGAAGCTCATCTCGGTCATCTTGTGGGGCTTTGCTCGAATCGAGGAATGTGCTGAATTCGAAGGTGTCTTTGTCGGTTACAGCAATGCTGCTGCTTGATGCCGTGAAAAGCCTGAATAGAAATCGGAAACCAAGTACCATTAACAATCAGCTGGTCTGAGAATTTCATCCTTTTACTCCTGAGGCAGGATGGCCAAACTCTACTTGGCTGCTGAGAATCGGGAACACGTGGCCCCAGGGCCATTGTGCCCGTCTTTCCTGCTCCCGGGTCAGGCGGCCCAAGATGGACGCCCTCGGAGCTCCGCCGTTTCCCCCACCGTCCACAAGAGGTAGGCGCTGCAGCCTCACATCCAAATAAGGCAGCGCTGCGCGGCCGCGGCCTGGCCTGGACCCCGCCCCCTGTGACTCACGCCGCGCCGGCCGCCGCCCTGCCCGCCGCCATCTTGGCTGCTGCCACGTTTGCCCGGGCGCCAGGAGGAAACTCGGAGGGGGAGCGGGACGAGGCCACCGGGCCCTTCTGCCCCCGGGCCAGGGCGCGCTTCCCCATCTCAGGAGGGCGGTCGTCCCGGGGACATTCAAACGGGAGCGACGCGTCCCCAGCGCTCGTAAAACGGCTTCCCCCTCCTTGACGACGCCTGGCCACAGGCCGCAGCCAAGCAGGTCGCAAACCCTCGTCGCCCCAGCGGCGCACGGCCAGAGCAGTCCGTCCCAGTCCGTCCCCGTACTTACGCCATGGCTTAAGCCGCTGGGGGATGCCGCTGCAGAGCCTGGTGCTGCTGCTGCCGCTGCAAAGGCCAATGCTGCCGCAGGCACTGCTGCCTCTAATGCGCCATGGCGGCAGGGGACCTGTGGGAGCGGAGGGAAGACTGGATCACAAAGACTACATGGGCAGGCAGGAAAAGAAATGGCCGAATCCGGCACGCCCAGGCCCTTTATACATTTCGTCTCTATGACACATCACGGGGAAAATCCTTCCGCCGAGGTCACGTGGCCTTCACCTCCCAACCATTTATTTTCATCTGTTGACGCCCTATCTTTGCCAACCAACGGCTTTTTAGTTCAGGGCGTAGCTCGGAAGAGAAAATGAGATATTTTAAAGGCCTCATGAAAGGAAAGACGCACTACTTTACAAGGCTTCTAAGATCAAAGAGTCACTTCTCCCTGCTGCTGGGGGCGCGGAGGGATCCACCAGCCACTCTTCGCCTTGGGCGTCAGCTGAAGGGCGGGGGGAGGTCTTTCATCCCAAGAAAGGTTTTTTGGGTGAAGTCCGAGGCCCTCTTATTGTCGCGCGAGATGCCGGCGGAGAGCGCGCACCGAGCTGATTGGTCAGGCATGGTGAGTCACATATATCTCGAGCTTTTATTGGCTCAGGTTCCGAGGTGGGTGGGCTATGCGGTGAGACAGCCGGGCGTCAGCGAGGGAACGAGTGGAGCGGCCGAGGCGTTTCCCGCGTGCGGGCTCTGTCGCTCGCCTGCTCTTCTTGGTGGCCCCCCCCCCGTGACATCGTTGTGTGGCCTGTAGCTGACCACAACCGGTTCCAACCCAGCGAGCCCCAAATAGTGGCGTCAGGCCCCAGCCCCTGCGGTCGCTAGTTGCTTACTTAGTGTAGTTCCAACTAGGGACCAGATTGCGCCTGGAAGATGAAACTAGGCAAAAGGAAATGTCATTTCGCGTGCGATTCCACCACATGGAAGCCCTTCAGTAGCTGAAGGGGGAGACAGGACCTACCGCGATCACCTGATCCAAGCCACCTACCGTCAAAGGCCAGCTCTGTCTCCTTACTCTGAGCTCTCTAAAATTGAGCCAGGAAGATGCATAATCCTACATTTTTACATTTCCATTCTGCTGTTTGCTAGTCTATTAAAATATGCAGTCTATCACAGGGGAATTTTTTTGGTTATGTAAGTTCAATTTCTCTAACAAGGAAAGTTTATTCAACTGGGATCTCTCACTCTAGGGTAGTTTCAATTACCTACCAATTCTGTAACTCCCAGGCGTCCTCTTCCTAGCAAGTCCTCCTAATGGCCCCATGAGGAAAAGAACCCACGTCCACAGGCAGGGGCAGGGCCAACAACTTGCTCTCTACTGGGGAGCTGTTAAGAGTGCTGCGAAAGCTCTCTCTGCCATCCTGCATTCAGGCCCTGTAGGGACAGAAACCTTGGGGTTCTGCCCCGGTATCAGTGGGCCATACAAATATTTATATGAGTGCTGTGCTGTGCTAACATTTGGGAGGCACTGTCCTAGATAACTACCATTCATTGACTTCATTCATCTAGCTCAGTTTCTTTACAGTGGTAAACAGAGGACTAATGAGATGAGATGTCTTGCCCAAAGTCACAGCTCCCAGTGAAGATAGGATGGAGTAGGGGTTAGAAGACAGATTTTAGGAGGCAAACCCAAAAGAATCCTGGTTCTTTCATTTATTAGCTGAGATGTTTGGTTAAGTGACTTATTCTTGCTGAGCCTCAGTTTCCTCATCTGTAAAATAAGGCTAATGATGAGTAGTATCCTTACTCTTAGAAATAAAATCATATATGTGTAAAGCACTGAGCAAACTGCCTGGTACCTGATAAGTGCTCAATTAATGATTACTATTAGCACTCAGGTCTTCTGACCTGACCTCCCAATAACCTGCCTCCCCATCTCCACCACATCATCCTGCTTCCTCAGAGGACTCTTGTTATTTACTGAGATTAAGCCAACAACTATAAACAACTGGTAAATGTACAGCATACTGGATGCGGGATAAGTGTGGTTTTTCTTTCCCCTTGGGGAATCCCAAGTATTGAGATACACAGAAGTTGTCTAATCTTTCAATGCAAAGGTGGTAAGAAACCCTGAGCCACTACACAAGTCTTCCAAAGGCATAACTAAGAACCCATGGGGCATGTCCTCTTGCTGTATTGAGACTTGTCAGTGCCTTCTGAGGGATGTCCATGCAGATGGTTGAGAATTAAAGAGAGTAACACTGCCCCAGTCTGGGCACTGCAGAGGTCATGGAAGAATGGCTTCAGTAGCAATTTGTCCCATCCATTCTATTATGGAAACCCAGATCAAGCACTTCAACGTTCTAGCTGACATGAATAACCAGTAGCACTCCTGTGGGAAATGTTTCATACCACACACAAGTCAAAGCTGTTGGAGACTTATTTTCTTCTTCACGTGGTGTGGAAGGACATCATGTGTCCCCGGTCTATTTCCTCCCTCCAGGAGAAGGGACAGCAGTCTCAGCGCTAAGCTGCTTCTATATGGAGCTAACCAAGACAGGACAGAAAGACTGGTCCCAAATCTACCAGCCAAACACACCCACTGCTGCTGAAGGGAAGGCAAGTGACTGGAAGGAAAGTTGTGGACTTGGCATCAGATGATGAACTCAGACTACAAGGTGGTCAAAATGAAAAGGTAAACGACACGCTGTATACAGTTAGCCCCAGAACCCACACCTCTGGTACTTCGGCCACTTAGAACCAGCAGTATCTAAAAGGGCTACTGCCTCACGGCTCTAGTCCTAGGTGTCTCTTTGGCCTTGAGCTTCAGCAGCAAGGGCAGAGTTCTAACAGACCCTGTGACAACAGACGCTCTCTGCCAGGGTCACAGTCTCAAGGAAGACGTACCACCACAGAGGACTCGGGACACATGCAGGGATCCCTACTTACAGAAACCCCTTGGGGCCTCTCCTGGGCCTTTTGATCCTGAGGCTGATGCCTCCTCAAAACCCTTTGTGCTCTCAGCTTCAGTGGTGTACAAGGGAGCAAACTCAGCTAATCTGGAGTGTCAACCAGTGGACCACCAGGGGCCAAGGCCCAGGAAGAAAGTTGTAAGCCTCAACACAGCTTTTCCAAACATGAGCTTTGATTATTTATTTGGGAAAAAAGTCACATTCAACTGTATAAAAAATACTGTTGTCCTGAACTCATTTTAAAAAGGGACACCTCGGAACACCAAGATACTTTGGAATTGATTAGAATTTCAAGGTAAGGAGTCTATTTTTTAAGCATTAGTCTATGTGGTTTGCTAACCTAGATGATGTAAAAAAATTCCAGATGGAGAAGTAGGACTCATTACTTCAGAAAAGGTGCGATGTAGGAGTAGAAAGAGTGGCAGGAAAGGCACCACATCTTTCCCCTAAGATTAAAGGGGGCTGGGGGATGGGGGGAGAATGTTGCTCTCTTCCACTTGAGAATCTCAAGAATACTTGACTACTTGACTGTCTTCCATGTTTTATGATGAGGTTTGCTGAGTTGGTCAGCAAAACCACAAGGCCCAGGGCCGGGAATTCCCACTGCTTCTAGTTCTGAGGACTTCTAAGAGGCTCTTGCTTGTGAAATGGCAAAGTTATGGTTTTTGGTTTTGTGAAACATAATTAAGAGACAGAGATGCCCTTAGAAAGAAGCTCTTTAGAGAGGAGATAGCCAGCATATTGGTCTGCAGACTGAAGGATAGTGGGTTTGATTCTGGTCAAGAGCATGTGCCTCGGTTGCAGGCTCAATCCCCAGGCCCGATCCAGGCCGTACGGTGCAGGAGACAACCAATGGATGTGTCACTCCCTCTCCTCCCCACTCCCCTGCACTCTCTAAAGAAATCAATGGAAAGAATATCCTCGGGTGAGGATTAAAAAAGAGGGGAGATAAGCTCCAATCACAGTTACACTCGGCTTTGATAACTTGGGACTTGATATTTAAAATCTTTTCTTTTTTGAGCTTTCCTTCCAGTGTTTTATATGGAATTTGGGGGGACACACCAGCTTAGGAAAATTGTAGGTTTTATAATACATTGGGAAAACCAAGTCCTTTAATCTCAATGAATAATAACCCGTGCTTTGGCAGTACTTCACCAGCTCACCCCTTTCCTGGATGCCATGCCAGGCTCCACCCATTAACCCTCTACACCACTCACAAGGGCAGCTCTCAGGCATAGAGATTTTTAAAACTCCTATTTGATTCTGATGAACAGCCAGGTTGGAGAATCCCTCTCAGGGTTCTGGGCTTTATATTTTTCATTCTCTCCCAATACCTTCATACAAATGAAACAACTGAAACACTTAAAGGAACATTTGCATATATATGAGAGGCAGGAAGATTCTCCAAATATAGCTAAGGTTAACCCTAGATCTCAACCCCTAATCCATGACAAAAAGGGACCAGGAATCTCTACCCTAAATTCAGAGGATAGCTGAGGTTTCACTGCTATTTATGGAGTCATTTCATGTCACTCCTTGGGAAGGAATGAGACAGCTGCTGAGCGCTTCACAAGAATCTCACTGAGTGGAGAGGCAGCAGGACAGAAGAACAGCAACACTTGATGGAAGGACGACAAAATACTGGTGCGCGCGCAGATCAGAAACAGAATTAGCAGGCTCTTGCCACGAACAGGAAAAAACACACACAAAACAAGATGCACTGGCCTTGTTATTAAACTCTTCCCCACTCTCAGGATACGTTTTACATTGCAATAAATAGTGCAATTTTAGCAGCAGGAAACAAGGAGCGTAGGAAGTCCCCACCTCCTTCATATGCATTTTATCCATGTGCATTTTTCCTAGGTAGCACCGATCTCCCCAGGTGCTGGGTGAGAGAGAGAAGGGGGGAGGTCTGAGCATATGTGCTTGGCATTTGGCCTCTGGAGGTGCCTGCAGAGTTCAGCAAACAGCCTTCTAACATTCCTGTTAGGCCTGTTCTTGCTATAAGACAACATCCTAGAAAGGCAAGGCCTGATGGGAGAGAAACATGGTCACCAATCCCCAACTCGTGACTGGATCTTCCAGCTGACCTCCCGCTGCCTGGCAAGCTACCTCCAATCTCCACAGCTAAGGCTTTCTTGAAGGCTTTGTCCTAATCGGCAACGAGGCAAGGGTGAGCAAGAGTGCCCATGCAGAGGTGCTGCCCTCGCAGCGCCTTCCCTCCCCATGTTAGTCTCACTCCTGCATACCAGTGGCGCTGGTCTGGACCAGCCACATGAGGCGGAGACTCCAGGCACATAGACCCTCTCCCAGGCTCCCTTTACCACCTCCGGCTCCCCCACCCTGCACTCTCACTGATGGCCACTAAGAAACAATCTGCAGATAACTTTGTGTCTACCTTATCTTGAGCCCTCACTCCTGTGTGGGCCAGTAAGGATTCCCATGAGGGATGTTCTCAGCACTGTGGATGAGTTGGTTAGGAGGGCGGGGGAATGGGCTTCTTTTCCAGGAACCTGAGTCAAAGGCCAGCTCTTCCGTCACTTTACCCCCAGAAACCCTAAATCCTATGTGACCACTCTGCAGAGTTCCACTTGGAAACATGCAATCGTAACTTCAGTGACGTTCAACTAAAGGCAACATCTTGACTAGGCAGGTGTGCTCCAGGGAAAGGAACAAAACAAGGCGCAAACAGGAGGAAAAGGAGAGAAGACACTGAAGAGAAGCAGGCTGAAGGGCAAGGCGGACAGACAGGAGCAGAAAACCTGGGTCACATGCAGAACGCCAACTGGTTTCAACAGCTCAGGCCAGTGCTCCATCTTCTCAATTCATTCCAGAAAAATTAGCCTGGTGCAAGAGGGAGAGGAGGAGGAGGGAGCACAGTGTTTGGTAACAAAAATAGAAAGGGTTGGGTTTGAGAAAATAGAAGATTAAGAGATGTCATTCTAATCAGCATGAAGTGACCAGGGCGATGAACAGCAAGACAGGAGGCACCTAGGGACCCTGTGAGGCACCAACTATGCAGCCAAGTGTTTCTAATGGAGAATCTAGGGCCTGACTGCCCAACATCCACTTTGGCCTTCACCTGCCCTACGTCTGCAGCAGCACCTCTGGCTCAGACAATGAGCAATAGAGAGTGTATCCCAATTCGTCTATTTCTTCAGGGGTGAGCTCAGCAAATAAGTTCACCTTGGGGTTTAGGGCACTGGGCAGGACTCCGGCCTCTAGGTGCCTGATGAGTCCCCTCAAGGCCTGCAGGAATCGATCGGCCAGCATATCTGGAGACCAGTCAGCCTCCTCCTGGGCCAAGTGGAGGATGACATTGGTGAGCTGGCTGGCAGTGAGGTGGCCCAGAGCCGGAGTGGACTTGCATATGGCCTTGAGGATCTTGAGACACAGAGATCGGCAGCCAGAGTCAGCCTGGTCCAAAGCCCGCAGGCGTGCCGTCTCAGCAGGTCGCAGGCTCAGCCGCCACAGGTTGTCATACTGGGCTAGCCGGTGTGGTCTGGCCACCAAGACAGTGTCGCCAAGAGTCACTGATGGCAAGAAGTCAATGACAAGATGTTTGTCACGCTCATACTGCACTTCCAGAGTCAGGGCCTCTGGGGGGGGTGCTGGTCGGATCACATAGTCCAAGAGGGACCCTATGGCTGGCCAATTGATGGAGCCAGCCACTACCTTCTCAAATGTGTCTGCCACTATCTTTGGGGAGAGGTAGCCCCCTACTACACAGCGGTCCCAGTAACTACTACCACGAGGAAAGTATTCTGGGTTCTCACGACGAACCAGGAAGAAGCCAGGGACATTCATGATGGTGTCCTCACCAGGAATACACGACCACAGGTTCTGCTCCAGCACGAGGGGCACAATGAGCTGGATGTGATCAGCTGTCACCACCTGTTGGAGAAGAATTAATAAGGTTTCAAAGGACTTAATCTGCTTAAGAAACCTGCTTCCATATTGTAAACAGAGGTCCTGCCATCTTCTATTCCCTCAACCATAAAGGAAACTAAGGATTCTTTCAATTCAGATATAAATATAGTAAGGATTTAAACCCAGGTCCGTCAGACGCCAGAGCCCATGCTCATTCCACATGCCACACTGTCTTGGCACATGAAGTACACGGGACATCTGCCCAGCCTAAAGACCCAACAAGAGAGAAAACTGGAAAGGAGGGGCAGGGGTAGGGATACAGGAAGAAGGAGGCCTCTTATGGTTTCCTAGAAGTTGTATGACTAAAAAACAAGGGTTTTTAAAGACCAAGATAAATTCAATAAATAAATAAATGAGATCTATATTTAAAAAAACAAACAAAAAAATAAAGCATACTGATCTCCAAAAGCTCCCACGGTGCAGAATTCAGAAGCAGTAAGATTTCAGTCTTTCTGGAGGCCTGGTCACTGACCTTTTGTACCAGTACCACTATTGAGAAGCATCTTGGTCAGTACCCAACCCTACCCCCCTTCATGAGAACCGCCTTGTTACCTGCAGGTCGTCATAGAGGCTGCCACTCAGGTACATGTCCCGAAGTGGCATGTCAGGCAACTTGGCCCGCAGAAAGCTCCGGAGCTCAGCACATATGTCCACAGCCGCTTGCTTGGCCCGAGCCTGCTCACCAGCAGGGATGGCGGCCCGGTTCCGGTAGTAAGAAAGAAGTTTCTCCTGCAGGGACATGCGGAGTCGTGACTTCTTCAAGTCTACCTGGCCCTTCCTGGCCAATGGCTTGGGCTGGGGAGGGCAGAATGTATCTGCCAAGGTAAGAGAGAGAAGCATGTCAGCTCTTCCCAGGCTGCCTCAATCCCAGAAAGAAGGGCTTGGCACCAAAGGCAAGTGCTAGCATGGCACCTGGCATGTTTTCAAGAAATGTTTGCTATATGCAGGAGTAGTACTGAGAGCCCACAGATAAGACCCAGGAAGGGCAACAGGCATTCTCACCCATGTCAAAGGCCGAGGAGTCCGTAGGAAGGGTCTGCAGGGAACGGCTCAGGCCTGTTTTCATGTCCTTGTTCAGCAATCGGGGGGAGCCCATCCAGTTTGGTTCTTCCCAGCTCCTTTTCCCTGAATGGCTCAGGCGGGTGGGGCTGGTAGGGGCACTAATTGCCCTATCGTACATCTGAAATAGCAGAGAAGACCCCACACGTGTACCTTCCTTCCTGTTTCCCTCCTTCCCAGCAGTTTGCCCTAGTGAGTTCTAAACCATTATTTTTCAATACCTTTGTTTTATTCTAGATTATGGAATCCTTTTCTCCATGTAGAAAGGTTCAGGAAATATGAAATGATATAAATAAGAAACAGATTTATCCATGATGTCACAATCCAGAGATAAATGTTAATATTTTGGTATGTTTCTTTCTGGAAAAATAGATTTATGTAATTAGGATCCTACTCTATATACACTTCTGAAACCTGGGTTTTTCACTTATGATTTTTATCATTTACCTGTATCAGTAAAAATGAACCAGTGTTCAACATTATGGTACACTTTCTGACTATACGACATTGTATCTTATGAATGTAAGGGTGAACACTGATTAATTTACTTAACAAATACTTAATAAATAAGTAGTAGTGGCTACTACGTGCTAAGCAGTGTACTAGGTAGAAGACTAGAGCACTAAACAAAGAGACCCAAACCCTGTCCTCCTGGAGTTTTCAGTCTAGTAGGAGGACACAGGCAAAACATAAGTTAAATACAAAGTATGCAGAAAGAAGTAAATACTAAAAATAAAGTAGGAAAGGGAAATAGGAAGTGTATATGTGGTGGGAATGTTGCTTTTTAAATAAAGTAGTCAAGAGAAGGCTATTTTGGTTATTTACAATTTTTTATCCACTGGGATAAACTTATTTGTATCTCCAACGATTTCTTTAGGGCAGAGACCTAGCAGTAACCTTAACTAAATTCTCTCAAGGTCTCATCTAATAATGCCAAATGACCAAGTTATACTCCCATGAACAGCACCGAAGTCTTGTTCCAGGTCAGCTCCACTCTGTAGAGGCAGCCTCCCACCTGTCCTACCCCTGGCGCAGGCTGCAGGCACTTACCCGCTTAACGGCCAGTGTAGCGATACCCAGCATGGCTGCTCCACCCACCCCCAGCACCAGCCGGGCATTGGAGAGCACAAAATCGATGGCTGTGCCGATGCCATTGTCATCCTTCTTGCCTTTGCGCTCACCAGCGCCTGCCATTGCTTACCTGAGGACGAAGGCAGAACACACCATCACCGCCTGGGACCTGTCCCTCCTATCTCCCCGCTATCAGGCCAATCCCCAACCAGTTCAGGGTACTGAGTTCCAGCAAATCCTCCTGCCTCTAGCACTGCATGCTCCTGGGTGGAGAGGGAGATACCACGACCCGTGGCGTATGTGGATGTGAAGGGAACTGATCGTGCTTACTGTGGGAGAACCTCTCCACTGGTCTACTGAGACTCCAGAAAGCATTAGGCTTATTTCAGTCCTTTCTTGCATTGCAGTAAAGTACTTCATCACGCGATACAACCCTCTCCCTACCCCTGCCAACATTATAATGCAGACTGTGTTTTGATCCTTTAGCCTCTGCTTTGTGGAAGGTTAGATCTGAGAAGGTCTAATCTAACAGGCAGAGGAGGCTCATCTTATCCTATTGCATCACTTCATACATAGGGAGGTAACTTGCTAGAGGTCCCAGAGAAAGGAAATAGTCGAGCCACCTCCAGAACTCAGGATTCCCAACTCCTACTACAATACTTTTTCTGCATCATACTTACCCTTACCCAAATCAAACCCTTCCTATTCTATTTACCTTTTACAAAACAAAAACCCCACAAAATAACAGGGACTGAAAACCCCGCACACAGATACATGACTACAAGTCCACACGTGAGAAAGGTCCAAAGAAGAATAAAACTCTCTGTGGACACTCCCACTTGACAAATGTGTTTCTTGGGGCAAGTGTGAGGGGGAAATACAACGGGCTCAAGTGAGACTGTGAGACTGAGAAGAAACACAAAGGATACTTGGCTGTTAACTAAAAAACAAAAAAAACCATCTGCTCAAATGCACTTGAAAAATGAACTAAAAATGTGAGCACCTAAAAGGAGTTCTTGCCCTGGCTGGTTTGGCTCAGTGGTTAGAGCATTGGCCCACGGACTGAAGGGTCGTGGGTTTGATTCTTTCCGGTCAAGGAGCACGTACCTCAGTTGCAGGCTCGATCCCAGCCCCAGTCAAGGCTCGTGCAGGAGGCAACCAATCGATGTGTCTCTCTCACATCGGTGTTTCTCTCCCCCCCCTTTCCACTCTCTTTAAAAAGAGGAAAAGAAAAAATACCCTTGGGTGAGGATAAACCAAAATAAAAAAGGAGTTCTTAGGCACACACAGAAGAGGCCGGCCCCCCGAGCACAGCTCAGCACACTTGCTCCCTGGCAACAGTGCAGTCATCCTAACTGAAGTTCTCCTAGGCCCCAAAAAGCCCATTTCCCATGGAGTAAGAACCCTGGGCCCTGCCCAGATAAAGGATGACAAAGTGGTTCAGCTCTGAATACTGGTCTTAACACTGCTACTCTTCTATCTCCTGTGTCCCCTACACCAGGAATTACATAGGGAAAAACAGCTGTATTCCATTCAGGATTCCAACAGACCAAGAATGGGAGGAGAGAGAGACAAGGCCCTGGTGCACCTTCCACCGTAAAGTAACACTCTTTCTAATATTGTATTACACCTGGGGTTGCCAGTTTCACAGCTCATGCCTGTTTCCTATACCTCCACACCCCCCCAGAAAGAAACAAAACAGTTCCAACTCTACTTATTCTAGCAATTGAGTTAACTAACAGTCACTGTCAACTCCAAAAATATTTTTTCCCTAACTAGAGTTCACAGCCTTGGCAGCCCTTCTCTCCACCTTTTATCGTCAATAGAAGCATCACGGTAGAGGCATGAGACCATTTGGCCAAATGAAATATAGCCCCACTTCAAATGCACACAGCAAGCAAGGCCAAGGAGAAGAGTCCACCTTTGTATTTACATGTGGGGTGAGGCAAGAATGCTAGTCATCCCCTTTCCACAGACCACTGAGACAGAGATGGGACATACCAACATATCAAACTCAGCTGAGGCAGAGTAATCTAATCAGGACCACGCAGAACATTTCCCTGTTCCCGCACATAACAGTGACCACTGTTTTATTTTTTAAAACAAAAGAACCTTTACTGATACATTTACAGTAGGGAGAGCCACTGGACGCAGGCACCCTCGAAGTGAGCCCTGGATGTGATGCAGTAGACCAGGAAGGACACATCCTCCCTCCGAGCAGAAGCCAGAAGCAGCATCCCTGGGCCACTTAGTCCTTGGTCCATCTGATGTGATGACTAGTAAGAGCAAGGCGGTGACAGGGCAGAACAGAAAAAAGCCTGGGTTTTCGGGTCAGAATCCTGAGATGGAGTCCTTGCCTTTGAGCCCTGACTTATTAGCTGGTGACCTCAAATGAGTTACTTAACCCCTCAGCTATGAAAAGTGGATAATGATGCCTGCATGGTCTAAATCATAGGGTTGTAGTGAGGAAAAAAGATCTACTAAAATACTGTATGGGAACACTTTAAAGCTGCAAAGTACCCCCCAAATTTGGGTTTATCATTAAGTCTTTCAAGTTTTCCACCCACAGGACAAAAGGTCGACTTCCAGAAGGCAGTCAGCAATCCAGACTGTCCTCTGAGTTGCATCTGACCTTCTGAGACAGAGCTAAGAATGGCCTCTAAAACTCATACTGATGCTATCCTGGGCTTGAGATCAAAACTGTTGAGCCCTGGCCGGTTTGGCTCCGTGGTTAGAGCATCAGCCCTCAGACTGAAGGATCTCTCGGGTTCAATTCCAGTCAAGGGCACATACCTCAGTCACAGGTTCCATCCCCAGCCTGTTGGGGCATGTGTGGGAGGCAACGAATGGGTGTGTCTCTCTCATCGATGTTTCTACGCTCTCTGAAAAGCAATGGAAAAAATATCCTCACGTGAGGATTTTAAAAAACAACAAAAAAAAAACTGTTAAGTGGAGCAGGCTTATGAAAAGGCCTTCCTACTGCAGTGCAATATGCTCCCCCATCCAAGGACCTGGTGACCTGGGAGAGGAGAGAACATCCACGAGCTCCAACAGGTAGATATAAGCTCTTATTTTATTTCTTTTTATTATTATTTTTTTTTTATCCTCACCCAAGGATATTTTGTCATTGCTTTTCAGGGAGAATGAAAAGGAAAGAGAAAGAGAGAAAGAGAGAGAGAAAGAGAAACATCAATGTGAGAGAGACATTAATTGGTTGCCTCCCGCACTCGGCCCTGACTGGAGTCAGGGATCGAGCCTGCAACCAAGGTACGTGCCCTTGGCCAGAATCAAACCCAGGTCCCTTCAGTCTGCAGTCCGATGCACTAACCACTGAGGAAACTGGCCCAGGCTAAGGTCTTATTTTAAAACTTAACTTGTTACAGTTGAAAGTGCTTATCCACTGTGCATCCTCCACTCAGGTTCTGCTGCACTAGCTTGGCGCCTCCTAGGAAACAGGCACTGCACTTGGCAAGGAGAGGGGCTGGCTCCTCAGTGCAATAAAAAAGGAGCACTGTTGTTTTAATGGGTAGAGTTTCAGTATTGCAAGATAAGAAAGTTCTGGAGATGTTACACCACAGTGTGAATATTCTTTTTTTTACCATTTTAAAAATATAACATCTGTTGCTTAGATGGTTTGATACAGAACAGCTTTTCTTTTCATTTTGAATTTAGAAGTACTACACAACTGAATACAACTATACTATTGAGGTACTATACAGCTGAACACAAAGAGGAACAAAAAGTACCAAAACCAAATTTGTGATTCTGTTCATGTGGCATAAACAATGTGAATATTCTCAATACTACTGAACTATGCACTAAAAAGTGGTTAAAATATTTAAAAGTAGAAGGAACACTGACCTGGTGGGCAAGGTAGGGGATGGAGAATCTGAGTGCTGCCAACATTTCAGGCAAGTTATTTAATCTGTCTCCCTAGATACAAAAACAGGAATAGAAATACTCATCACCCCAATATAGTGGAGGTGATGAGTAATGGAGGCCTGCAGGTTCCTTGGTTTGACAGCACAGAACTATGAAAATTCCAAGGGGTCACCGGTTCGATTTCCAGGCAGAGCACATGCCCGGGTTGTGGGCATGATCCCCTGTAGGAAGCATGCAGGAGGCGGCCAATCGATGTTTCTCTCTCATCATCGATGTTCCTCCTTCCCTCCCTGCCTCCCTCCCTCTGTAAATATCAATAAAAACTTTTTTTTTTTAATTCCAACTTATTTTACTTAAAAAGGTCATATGACTTAAACATGTCTGGCTTGAGTACACATGAGACTAGCTAACATATATGGAGTGTATATCATGTGCTGGACATTTTACACATATTAATTCCCTTAATCCTCACAACAACAATCCTATGAGGTCAGTCTTATTGTTATCTCCTATTTTCAGATGAAGAAACTGAGGCAAAGGTTAAGTAACTGGCCCAGGGTCGCCATGTTAGAAAGTTGTGCCAAGATTTGAACCTAGAGCTCATGCCGCTGGGGAGAAGTAGTTTACAAGGGTCTCAGGTAGCTTGCTCACATTTCCTCTCTATTAGCCACTAGACCACAAGTTTCTTGGGGGCATTTTGGCTCATTCACTGCCACTACCCAGGGCCAGCAGTGTTTGACACACAGTATTTGTTGCACAAGTGAGCTATTAACCTTGTGGCCTTTTTTTTTTTTTTAAGGAGGGGGTGATGGCAACCTGTAACCCAATTCAGTCAAAATAGATTAGGAGCACAAAGACTATTTCATTCCTGACCTGCCACCCTTCCCTGTGCAGACAGGCCCCCAGGGGCATCAACCCACCCCAGCCCTATGCTGCCAAAGGCTGGTCTGCCAATCAACCTAAGTGGCTGAGGAGAACCAAAAGCCATTACAGAAGGCTCCTCCCTGCTTTCCCTCTCGAAGTTGAAAACAGTACCCTCCACCCAGCTGGCAAGCCCTACACCTCAGTTACCCATTCTTCTGTCTCCACCTCCTGCCTCAGCCAACTGGTCACCAAGTCCCACTGCTGTACATGTTGTACTTATGTGCAGCCACCCCACTACTTCAATCCCTCAATCTCATCTGGCCACACTTGCTGCCTCTATTATCTCTCACCAATTTATTCTCCAGGCTGCCACTGCCACAATCCCTTTCCCATGACATTCCACTGCTTTCAAAGCTGTGATGTCCCCCTACTATCAGATGTCACAATCTCCTCAATAAGGGATTCAGTGTCCTTCCGGACCTGGCCCAGCCTCACCTCCAGCCACCTGCCTTACAGGTGCACAATTCTAGCCATGCCAGACTCGAGTTTCCAGACTACAAAGAGCAGCTTCCACCTCCAGTTTGCTTATTCTTGCCCATCTACTCAGCGGCCTATTTCTCACTGGAAACAGACCTCAAATGTCCTTTCCGACTGCTGCCTGTGATTCCCCTACCACCTCCCCAAGACAGGTATGTTCTTTTCCTTGTCTCCAAACTCTGGACCCAACCCTTTACTACAGAGCTGCTCAGGCTGGAATTACTTCCTGTCCATCTCCACTTTAGACCAAGTCCCTTGATGGATGGTATCATTTATCTCCACTCCCAGGGCCTGCCAGAATGCCAGTGCCACAGAAGGCCCTCTGGGAAAGTTGCTAAATTAAATATAATCATTAGATTATATTTAGGGAGCCTTCTTAATAACACTGGTATCAGGAATAAACAGCACTGACACCACTTGCCAAGTAATTCTAAGTGCTGTGTGTGCAGTCTCATTTAATTCTCATAATAACCTGAAGAGGTAGGTACTGGTATGTCCTTTCTACAAATGAGGAAATGAAAGCCTGGAATGGTTCAGTGATTTGCCCTAAATCCCACAGCTATCAGCAGCAGTGCCAGGAGGTGAACCCAGACACCATCCCCTGACATCTGTACCCACAAACCCTGGTGTGTTACAGACTATAGTTATGTTTCGGGAATGTGACCATGACGACGAGAGAACTGAATGAACTGAAGGACGAGCCAGCCTGGAACTGAACTCTAATAGTTTTAACCAATGTCTTTTCTAACATTTTCATGTGTAAACTGTTCTGTTTGAAATAAAATGGTGATAACAATCCTATTCTGTTAGAGTTTGAAACTCAGGGCCTATTGTTTTCTCAATAAGGGAACATACTTCTGTTAATATGTCTGCAGTTTCTCCATTGACTTCTAATGATTAAAAGACTTTGGTCACTAAAAGAAAATGGTCTTCCTCTCCTGGTCTCCTGCATCAGAAAAAAACAAAACCTAAGGAAAAAAGGATCTACCTACCTGAAGCTTCTTACTGCATCTGTAAGGTGGGGGTGGGAGAGAGCAGGAGTGTCTACAGAAGGCACCTTTGCCTTCTTTCCCTGGGAAATTGGATGGGAGAGGAAAGGAAAGGATCCTAAATAATCCCCCCCAGTTTGCTGTGGAGGAAGACTAGGCCCTTTTCCAGCTGCCTCTCCCGGGCCTCAGGATCCTCTAGCTTCTGATTTTTCCGGAACTCACGGCGGATGGAGGCAAGATAGAAGTCCCGATCAGTGTAGCGAAGCTCTCGGCCCTGGCGCAGCAGAGCCCGGTAGAGACTCAACACCGCCTCTCGGCTCCATGGGGCCATGGGGAACTGGCAGGTGCTGGGCGTCAAGCTGTAAGCAGAAGGGAGAAAACAGAAGCCTAGAATCAGAACTAATAACAGAAGGGCCTATAGAACCTATCTAAAATTCAAGAGTTCTTAAACTAGGTCTCAGAGACCCCCCCAAGGCCACGCTACAACTTAGTGGCAGGGTTTGGACTAGACCCCAGCCTCTCAATACCCCCTTCTGGGAAAGTACAGTTTATGCAGAAGGGCCAGGGTTTGGAAGCTGAACTGCCTGGGCTTGAATCCTGGCTCTGCCACTTACCACATGACTTTGGGCAAAGTACTTAACCCCTCTAAGCCTCAGCTTTCTCACTTGTAAAATGGAAATATTAACAGTACCTGCTACATAGTTTTGAGAACTGTGTGAGATGATACATGTAAAGCACCTGTACCAGAATTTCACCACAGGGGTGAAGGACTCTCAGCCATACTTGAGTCCTGGCACCACCACTAATGAGCTCATCACCTTGGGCAAGTTTCTTAACCCCTCTGTGCTTACCTCAGTTTCTCATCTGAAAAATGAGGATTAAATCTGTATTCTGCCCACATGGCTGGTACGAAAATAAAATGAGTTAATGTATGTAAACGTGTTTAGAACAGCACTTGGCACCTACTAAGACTCTAACAGGGACTGCTATTACTAGCGCCACTGAGCCTGGTTTGTAAGTGCTCAGTAAATATTATATTTAATTCCACATAAACAGCCACCGTCCTCTTTCAGAAACAGTAAACCCTTTCACAAGTACAGAGTGTGATCATTTGCAAAGTGCTTTGCCATCCATTGTCATATTTAAATTAAGGAACCTATAAGGGTCGGGGCTCATAACAGTAATAGTGAACACTTGCTGTTTATTATATACCACGCGTGTTCTAAGCGTGCCCCACATCTCTCTATCAACAATCCCAGTGTCATCACTATCTCCATTTTAAATGGAGACTGAAGCTCCCGGGGGGCAGTAACTTGCCCACGGAACACTGCTGCACCCCTGACCCCGATTCTGGCCTCCATAAGGATAGTTGCCTCTTGCCGGGCCTTAGCACGTGTAGAGCACAAACTTTCCCACCACATACCAGGAGCTCAAAACTCAGCTGAATGAAAGAGAATCCTCACAGTACCCCTATGTGGAAGAAACGGCCACCCTTGTTTCAGAAATAAAGAGACTGAGTGGGGAAGATATTTGACTGGTAAACAGACACGGACTTTGCGCCCAAAGCCCGCTGGCCATGCGCGTCTGGCCTTGCTCACTTCCTGCGCAAGCCTGGGCAAACCACTGTCCCTGTCCCTTTTCCCTCAACTGTACAACGCCCCGCGGCCCAAGGGCCTCCCCGAGCGGGAGATGACTCCGGAACACCAGCAGGGAAAGTGCTTTATGAGGCGGCAGGCGCCTGTCACGTAGGGGCTGTTCGCGCTGGGTCTCTCGGCGAGCGGGCGGCTGAGTCCCGGCGGGTCCCCAGTTCCTCCGCGGACACTGGGGCGATAGGGCCAATTCGGGGCGAGAGACCCAGAGGCCGGGGCAGGGCGGCTCGGGGCGCTGGGGTGGCTTCGCTGGGAACGCCCGGGGCGGGCTGGGGCGAGCCCCCCGGCGTCCTGCCCGCAGCCCCGGCCCTGGCCCTCACTGCTCCCCTCACTCACCCGCGGGCCGCGCGCTACCACTCCTCGGGATGCGCCTCTCGCCCGGTACCTTTCCCCGGGTCACCCGGCAACATGGCCTCTTCACTTCCGGGACACGACCTTGTGCGCGGAGCTGAGGGGAGGGACCGAACGGTGTCCGGAGGCGGACGGAGGCGGGAGGACTTCCGGTCTCCCTGGCCACAGCCTCCCGGGGCGGGGCCAGGAGCCCCGCAGGCCACGCCCCCTTGACTAGACCCTGCCCACCGGCCTGAGCCCCACCTCCCGCGTGACGTCACCAGGGACCGGCCGGCCGAGAGCGTTGGGGCCCCGCCCCCGGGGGGGTCGGGGTGCGGAGGGGGTCGGGGTGCGGAGGACCGCCGCTGGCACCGTCGGGCTGAGGCCCTGGGGCCACCTGCGGGAATTCTGACCGTATGCCCCAGCATAGCATTCAAAGCTCTTCCAAGCCCATCTTCTCAAATCGGCTTCACATCTTTTCGTTCCTTCGTGCTGTTCCAGCTGCCCAGGCCCCTCGGCCCCTGGCAAACTCCTGCCCTGCGAGGTCCGCCTCAAATGTCCCCTCTGGAAGTCTTTTCCAGCCCCTTCCTTGCCGCTCATCCAACACGCTGAGGTACCGCCTTTGGGCCCTAAAGAAATGTCTGCACACAGGATTCTTAAGCTGGTCAACGACAAAACATATTTATTGGCGCCTGTTATTTGCCAGGTACTGATTTTTTTTTAAAATTGATTTCAGAGAGAGAGGAAGGGAGAGGAAGAGAGAGAGACATCAATGATGAGAGAGAGTCATTGATCGGCTGCCTCCTGCACAGCCCCTGCTGGGGATCCAGCCCGCAACCCCGGCATGTGCCCTGACTGGGGATCCAGCCTCCATCTCCTGGATCCTAGGTGGATGCTTAACCGCTGAGCCACGCCTGCCTTTCTAGGCGCTGATTTTTAATGTATCCACTGGCTTCTTGGCCTCTCGCCAGTTTTGAGAGCGGGAGTCATGTCTTATGGAATCTGTAACCCCCACCCCCACTGTCTCACGGGTGCCCAGCTCTGAGTGAAGCCAAGAGTCAGCCCACTGGCTCCCAATTCCAGCTCTCCCATTTAAGGACAGCTGCCCTATGGCAAGTTTCCTAATCTCTCTGAGCCTGGGGTCTGCTGTGAGGATTAAAAGGTATCTAGCACTTAAGGAGTAGTTGCTCATCCATTCATTGATGCAAGAAATCCTTGTTGAGGGTCTCTAATGTGTAAAGCACTGCCACAGGCATTGCAGAGAACAGAGAGATCAAATCCTGGTTTTTAGGTGGCTCAGCCTCCAAAAACTTCCAGGATCTGACCACTGCCACCTCCCTGGTCTGAACCCCTATCTGGTTTTTTAAGATGTTTTGATTTTTTTTGAGAGAGAGAGGAAGTGAGAAGGGGAGATTGAAACATCAATGCATCGACATCAATCGGCTGCCTCCTGCATGTCCCCTGCTGGAGATCGAGCCCACAGCCCAGGCATGTGCCCAGGAATCTAAGGCAACCTCTAAATGCATGGGCCAACCCTCAACTAATTAGCCACACTGGCCAGGCCCCTATCTGATTTTATAGATGAAAAAAACAAAACCCAGAGAGGTCGGTAATTTCTCTAAGACACTTAGCTAGGCAGCAGAGAAGCTTGCAGTGGGATCCAAGTCTGTCTGACTCCCAAATGTGTTCTTTCCACTCTTCCAGACTGCCCTACTTTGCTCTTTACACAAGTAATTTAATATTTGTGAGATTTCCAGCTGGAAGACCAGGTGACCTTTCATATCCCTCTTGACCCTGCTGTTCTATAGAATATTATTTTTGGAAAAGAAGGACGGGGGTCCCTTGAGGGTTCTCCCCTTCAGATCAGTTCCCCCAGACTATTCCTGTTCTTCAGGGTTTTCTCTTTACTTCCAAACTCACGAGGCTACTCCTGTTTCCAGTGCTTCCATGGCAGTGTGTGGGAGGGGAGAAGACAAGGCAATGAGGCAGGCCTCTGGCACCCACATGTATTCGTGGTGACTTTGTAGACTGGAGACCCCAGCAAGGGGCACTGACGCAGATCTCAAGGCTCTGCTGGGTTTAACAGGACAAGGGGCCTTCTGGGATATCTCTGATTGATACTGTAGTTTTGATATAACCCCTGGTCTCACATCTGGATGATGGCAACAGCCTCTTATGGGATCATGGCTGGAGGGCGAGAGGGAAGCACTCATTCAACAAAACAGTGAATCACCCAAAGTAGGCATCGTTTGGGGTTGGAGCGATGGCACAGAGGAGACAGAGGGGAGAGTGAGAGAGCAGCCCAGTGCCTCTTTATCTGTGGGGGAGCAGGGCAGGGTGGCCTCAGACTTCCCTACAGAGGCAGCGAGGGTGAGTTCCCTGAGGCCTTTATCTCACCTCTCATTCCCTTCACTTCCCCCAGTAGGGTCCCTTATACAATCGAGACCCTCTGGAAATGCTCGTTGCCCTGAATTGGAGGGATATTGCTCCTGGATGACAAGACAGAAAGCTCAGGCAGCCCGCCTCCACCTCCCCAGCCCTCCCAGGGGAGGACCCAGGGTGGAGTGAAGGAAGGTACAGGCACTGTTACTGCCCAGCTGATGGAGGAGTTGGCTGTAACCGGATCAGCAGGGCCCTGGAAATCACTCTCAGAAAGAGCCGCCTCCCTCATAATGGGATTTGCTCTAATCAGATGCCATCGACCCTATAATCACCAGACTAAAATCTGATATCCCTGGACAGGAGTGAAGTTGTGAGTAAGTGAAATCTTTGCTGCCCACGTTGTGTCAGGTGGTGCTGAAAGGTGAAGGGAATGTAAGCTTGTTTGCTGAATACCCTCCCTTTGCCAAGCAGCAGGAGTGGGGGCCGGGGCTGGCAGATGCACAGGCTCAGAGCCTAGATCCCAGCATCTCCACTTCCCACCTGTGCTAGGGCACCACACCCAGGGGGCACTTTACACACCATAGACCTTGGGAAGTTGTATGTTTTTTCTGACATTTCTTTGGCAGAAAGCAGTGAATTGTCTTGTTCTAATGAAACCAGTACATTATGGCAATTTTTCAATAGATGGAAATAAAGTGTCTTGAGGAAGGGGTGACCTGCCCAATTTGCACAAAGGCCTGTGTGGACTGGGGCAGCCCTGTGCGGAGGACGAGTTGCTTGGAGGAGACTGGAAGAAGGAGAAGGAAGGGCAAGGGGTGATTTCTGCATGTCCAGGTCAGGGTCTGGGCGCTCTGGCAACACCACTAAGACGAGATGTGTTCTAGAGGGTGCGCAGAGCTGGGAAAGGGCCTGAGTGTGGTTCAGATGACCAGGCGTGATGTTTGTACATGTCCTTCATCCTCTGAGTCTTAGAACTTGACCCACCGATGCCTTCCTGCTGGGTTGCTGGCAAAAGAGCCTTCCCTTCCCTGGGGGTCTTGGCATCCACAGGCCAGGCGCAGGCTAGAGAGCGGGAGGGGCCCTCTCCAGACACAGCTCCTCAGTGGGAAAGCCTCTGTCCTCGGTGAGACAGAGAAGGGTGAACCCCGACCAAGGAAGGGAGCAGCCCTAGTCTGGCGGGGTGTAGCGGCCTTTGGGGTCTGATGTGTGGGGACCTGCTGGTGGGGCGGATATCAACATCTACTACCATCACTCATAATACAAGTTAGAGGCCTGCAGGGTTTGGTGAGCACTTGGGGCCCTGGGCCGAGTGCTGGGGACATAAAAGCGAGGAAGACAAGCCCAAGAGACAAGACAGATGCTCCAGACGTGCCCGCTGTGAGTCTTCATCCCAAAGCTCAGCCGCATCCCATGCAAGTTCTGGAACCTTCATTTTCTCATCTGTAAAAGCAGAGAAGAGGACATGCCCCTCTCCTCTGCGCCTTGAACACTTTGATGTTCCCCTAGCACTGCCTTCATCATTTCCTGTTGTTCCGTAGGCTTGGTTTTCTTTTCTAATTACATTTTCCCATGATTCTAGTTTTTATACATTTGCTTGTCCACCTCGCGGCACGCATTTGTGTAAGCTGCCTCAGATCCAAGGTGGCATCCAGGGAGAAGGAAGGAAGGAAGGGAGAGCGGGAGCCGGGGCCTGTAGCCGACATGCCTCTCCTTTCCACTAGGAGGCGGTGCAGACCATCAGAAGGGTGGCGGAGACCCGGTCCCAAATCCTGCCTGGGAGCTGGGTACCTTTGAGCAATTTCTACGCTTAACCTCCCTAAATCTTAGCCTCACCACCTCCACTCTCTGACTGAAGAGTGGGAAGACAACCCCCCAATACCATTAAATTCCACAAGAGAAAAACTGACCCTCCAATGACCAACATCTACCTCACAGGATTCCATGAGGTGACGTGTGCAAAGTGCCTGGCATTACCCAGCAGAAGCTCCACAGCTGGGCACTGCTACTCCTGTGGTTCTTAACCTGGTGATGCTGCACCCCAGAGGACATTTACTTAGAAATGTCTGGAGACACAGTTGATTGCCACACTGGGAGATTGAATGCTACTGGTGTCTAGTAGGTAGAGGCCGGGGATGCTGCTAAACACCCTAGAACAGACAGCCCCACACAAAGAATGATCTGGCCCACAATGTCAGTAGCACTGAGGTCAAGAAACCCTGGCCTATTCCCAATCAATTTTGAGCCCCTGGAGAGCAGAAAATGTGTCTTGTCCATTTCTGCACCTTCCTCAGGACCTGCTGTCCAGCAGTCGGTAAATGAATGTAGGATTGGATTGAAAGGCAAGCAGTGGCAAAAGGGTGGCCCAGATATGGTGGGTAGGACCAGTGGGTGGCAGAGCAAAAGGACTGTCACAGAGCGGGGTCATGTGCCTAACTGCATTAGCGTGGGGGCTTCCTGAGGGATGAACTCGATTTGCAAAACCAAAGTTGCTTCCTAAGCGTCCTACTCAGGTTGTTTAAATGCTAGCCGTCAAGGGGACCCTTTAAGAGCTTTGTAGAATTGAGACTCCCCCTACGGAGCCTCTGCCCCAGGAAGTGGTGATGTGAGCCAGGCCTGCTGAATTAGGAAATCCCCCCACAAACCTCAGGAACGTTGTCTCCTTCCTCCACCAACCGCATGCAAAGCGCTCGGCACCTTGTGAGCGTTCAGGACACGCGAGCCCCTGCTCTAGCCACCAACAATCCGGTCACTCCTTCCCGTCTCCAGACTCGGTCCCCCATCTAACATGGAGGCTGCACAGCCACCCCACAGGGGACAAGGGCAGAGTTCAAAGTGTCCACTCCCACCACCTCTGAGACCCTCCTTAGAAAATACCCAGAAGGCCTTCTCCCCAGGACAATGCCAGTATCCACGGGTCCCAGAGGAAGCCCCCCACATCCCACTGCTCCAGGTGCCATCACCACGCAAGTCCACGGTCAGCTCCACAGGAGAGTGATGACTAGTCGGGAAGGCTGTGGCCCTCACCTGCCCCAGAGGATTGATGACAGGACCAGCGCTGTTAATCCAGGTCCAGCCCTGTTCTGCCCAGTGGCTGTATGATCTTAGGACTCCACAGGCAGAGGGAGGAAACTGAGGTGGACACGTTGGTCTCGATGCCCCAAGAGCACAACTGTGGGGGAACTGCTGCCCTCTCGGTAGAGGCACCAAAGTCTTCATCCAGATCCCCAGAGGTCCCAGGCCCACATCTCCCTCCTGGGGACCCCTGTCCAGCGCCTTCCCTTTCTCAGCCCATTTCTACCAGGGGGAGGGAAGGATGCCCCCTGATGCTGGTGGAGGTAACTGCAACCCTCCTCGCCAGCCAGCAGTCCTGGGGAGGCTCTCACCCCACAGATCCAGCACTCCATAGCAAGAGTGGCTTTGGCAAGGCAGGAGCCACCCACTTGCGACCCTCCCTGCCCCAGAGCACCCCCAAACCAACCACACATGCACACTCTGCAGACTGTAGCTGTTTTTATTATTAATATTATCTTAAGCATCCCTTTAAGGGTGAAATGAAATCCAACCATTTACAGAGAAAATGATTTCAGAATATACATATTGATTTTCCCTTACAAAAAAAATAATGGCGTCAGGTTATACATTTCCCAGGGCCCTGCTATTTACTTGGGCAAGTCCTGTCTCCCCACACCAATTGTAACCTTTGTCCCCAAAACTCTCCCACACCTGTCCCTGGGAACCAACATGACCTGCGGGTAGGCTGGGCCTCCTTGAGTCTCCAGGTTATAGGGCAGGTGTTCATACCCTGGGAAAGAAATCTGGGTATGCTGGCAGGGCCAGTGGTGTGCCAGCATTCACATTCACAGCTTGGTTTCCCTTCATACTGGGGGTGTGGCTCAGGGCTCCCCTGACCCCCAAATTCCCAGTGTATGATGTGATTATATGTGAAACTCTTCAACCCCATGCTTTGGCCCCCAGCCCTCTGATAGCTGTCATCTCCACCCAATGACCAGGCCTCCTCTTGACAGTGACCATGAACAGCCCTCCTGGGTCTAAGGAAAGGCAGGGCTTGGCAGGTCTGAGCGCATCCCTTCTCCTTCCCCTGCCGGAGCTGGTGAACTGGAGGCTGGCCTGGGAAGGAGGCACTCCACAGTAGCGGGAGGGAGCCAGCAGCATGGGGTAAGGAAGCTGGCAAGGAGGGAGACTTCTAGGATGGGCCTCAAGCTTGACTCAGGAGCCCTGAGACTGCCTGTCCAGGGGTGAGCAGTGGTTGCTGACTTCTTGAGCCACTTAAGAGCCCCAAGAGGGATCAGAGAGGGGCTGCTGTGTCTCCAAGGGAGGAAAGTGGGGACAACAGAGCCCCCTCAGCCTTCTTCACTCCTGCCCACCAGAGACTGCTCCGAAGTCAGCTCCCCAGTCCACGCCCACACCGAACTTCCCCAGACAGACCTGTGGCAAAGGGGACAACCTCTTCTTCTGGCCCAGCAGGAAACACCCAGAGAAAGTCCCTGCTGGAGGCTAGAGGGTACTGGGTGGAAGGATGTGGTTGGAGCCAAGAGGGGCTGGAAGGTAGTGGGTGCTCAGCTGTACAGCCCTCAGGTCAGGAGGAGTCTCATCCCTTGGACTAAAAGACAGACAGATGGACCCTGCATCCCCTTAGCCTTGTTTTCCAGGCTCCCCAAGGGTTTTGTGCCTCCGTCATTTTGGGGAGCTGCAGGTGTGGCCACAGGCTCCAGATCCCAGGGAAGCGCCTGGACCCTGCTCCCACATCCACACACAAGCATCTATGTACAGGGACACACCGACACAGACACATACAAGTACACACAAGCATGCACCCATGCCCATAAATACACACACACGCACAAACATGTACCATTCCACAGGCAGCCTCTGCATCCTGGTATCACTGGTGAGCATCCAGTGGGGAATTGGAGAGGGGGTGTCTCATCCTTCCCATAACTGCAGGCTCTCACTGCACCTCAGCCCTGGGCTGGCAGTGATGGGAGCAGGAGCAGGTTGTTCCAGGAGCTCCGAATATGAGGAGGATCTTATGACTGCAACAGTCATTTCTACCCTCTCTCCCACTCTCCGTGCCAGAGAGGCTCCTTGTTCCCTGTATCCATGCTTTCCGCCTTCCTTTAATAAGAGAGCTAAGCTAAGGCTGGGCACATGGCAGCCCAGCTTCCCTTGCAGCTGCTTGTAGCCATGTGACTAAGCCCTGACCAGCAAGGTACGATCAGAAGTGACTCTGCCATCTCTGGCTCATGCCGTTAACAGGAAAGGGTGTGCATTTCCCATGCCCTTCTCTGCTTCCCCTAGGCTTGGACGCACATGTGACGGTGGGAACTGGAGCAACCAGAATTGGAAGGTATGTATGAGGAAAGCAGAGCTGCCCTACTCGATCCAGACCACCTCCCTCTAGACAGTTAAATCAGAAACAAGCTTCCATCTTGCTTAAATCACTGTATTTCGGGGTCTCTTAATTACAGCAGCTTAGAATATACTTTAATGAATACATCTCCTGCCCCCATGAGGCAAACAAAGTGGAATGAGATGACATACAACTGGCCTTAATGTCCCTCTTGGGCCCAGGGCAGCCTCATGGCTCCTTTCTGGCCCCTACCCAACACCAAGAAGGGGTACAAGGGTAACTCCACCTGAGACAGTGGAGAGCTGGGGCTGTGGACTCCAGCAGGAAGGGGTGATGGGGCACCCCCATGTCTGACCTACTAGGCTGGCTGATGTCCCATCCCACCCTGAGAAGTGGACTCCTGACCTTGCAAGTGGGTAGCCCGCAAGACAGAATATAAAAAGTAAGAAGGAACATCAACGCCAGGTTCAGAACTGAAAGGAAGACTCCCCGGCTTCCCTAGGCCCCATGCCTACGTCAGCTCAGAAGGGTCCGGGGCGCACCGTGCCATCCCACACAGCAGCGTCCTGTGGGGCGGGCAGGGGGAGTTCTCAGCTCCTCTGGCCCAGCACCTCTGAGGACACCGTGCTTCCTCTCAGCTGGATGCTGTTTTTATCCGCTCCTTTCTAGGTGCCCCCCCTTCCTCCCGACCCAAATACAACTACTTACAGAGCTGGGGACCTCCTGGCATGCCCCTTTCCCACTGCAGGTCAAAACCCCAGGAAGCCAAATGGTGGGCTTCTCCTCAGCAGGGCTGCAGCTCCCACGTGGCTTGTGGGCGTGCCTCCAGCTCCCTTCCCCACCCTCCCCCGCCACCTAGTTACCATCAGGCACTCTCCACTGGCACCTCCTGGGCACAGCACTCTCGGAGGGTGGAAGGGTCAGGCTCCCCTCTCCTGACGAGGAATGATGTTTCTGAGCTCCCGGGCCTGACCCCTGGTTCACGAGGGCTTGAACAGGGAAGAGTCTCCCACTCAGCCCCTCCTGGTCCTCTCAAGAATCCCCCTAAAGGTTGGAAGGAGGCAGGGAGATAACAGGAGGGGCGGTCACCACCCCCTGCCCCGCCACGGGCCCTGAAGATCACGCAGCCTTAGCCTTCCGCCCCCTCCAGCTCGGGCCTGGCAGGCGGCCTTCCCTCGGCGGCCCTGCTCCGCGGCCCACCTTCCGCCGTGCTCTTGGGCTCCTGGTAGGGGTTGTCCAGCAGGTAGCGGAACTGGTTGTAGTTCTGGAGCAGGTACTTGGGGGCGTACATGTGCTCGCCGGGGTCGGCCGGCGGGTATTCCTGCTGCGTGCCGTCGAACCAGCCCCCGGTGCGGATCAGGCTCCGTATATAATTGAGGTCCCGCTTGTCCTCGTAATCGCCCCAGCGGGGGAAGTCACCGTTCTGCGCCGACACGAGCTTGAAGTAGATGCCCTCGGGCGTGAAGCACCAGGAGCAGTGCCAGCCCGCGAAGTGCAGGGGGCTGCCCAGCGACCACTGCACCAGGATGTGGCCCGTGCGGTTCTCGTACTGCCGGAAGCCGGGCATGGTGTAGTACTGGCGGCGGCGCAGGCGGATGCCGTCCAGCCCGTACACCGAGCGCAGCATGTCCACCGTGCAGCCCGACACCACCTCCAGGGTGCCCGGCTGCTTCCAGAAGAAGCCGTAGAGCGACTTGCGCATGTGGAAGGCGAAGGGCTCGGTCCAGCCGTCGTAGAGCTTGAGGAAGAGCACGCCGTCGCGCGCGGGGATCTCGTCCGCGTCGTCGATGATGAAGACGTCGTCGGGCCGCAGGTTGCGCAGGCGCGCCACGCCGTCCTGCGTGAGGAACGTGCGCAGGTAGTCGTCGGCGATCCAGCCGTCCTGCCGCCCGCCCGGCGGGAAGTGGTCCAGGAAGACGTACAGCACCTTGTGGCGGATGTACTCGAACGTGCCGTTGCGCAGCATCTCGCGGAACTTGAGCGGCCGCGGCTCCCCGTAGGCCGTGAAGTTGGACTCGCACACCACGAACGCGTCCACCACGTCGCCCAGCTCGTGGAAGCGCACGTCCAGCAGGTCGAACTCGTGGTTGATGTTGATGGCGTTGATGACGCGCCGCGGCACCTCCCGCGGCACCAGGCGCTCCTTGGTGGGCAGGTTGGAGTACTGCACCACGGTGGGCACGCCGCAGCTCGGCCCGTGCCAGCCGGGCAGGCACACGCACTCCACCCACTTGCGCCGCGCGCCCCG